GCTCCCTGCTCGGCGGGGAGTCTGCTTCTCCCTCTGACCCTCTCTCCTCTCGTGCTCTCTCTCACTCTCTCTCTCTTAAATAAATATCTTTAAAAAAACTATAAAAAAAAAGATTTTATTTATTTATTTGAGAGAGAGACACAGCAAGAGAGGAAACACAAGCAGGGGGAGTGGGAAAGGGAGAAGCAGGCTTCCCGCTAAGCAGGAAGTCCGATGCGGGGCTCGATCCCAGGACCCTGGGATCATGACCTGAGCCGAAGGCATATGCTTAACGACTGAGCCACCCAGGTGCCCCAAGACTCTTTTTCTTAATTTAAAAAAATTATTTTGGATAGTAAGTCTCTGCCTGTTTATATGTGCTGCAAATATTTTCCCCTTGTCTGCCTTTTCTTTTTCTCCCGAGTTCTATTTCTATTCCTGTATTCAAATATTTTCCCCCATTTATGTTCAAAAGCTATTACAAGAGTTTTGAAAATTACATTTAATGTTTCAGAAGAAACTTGTTTGCAGGTTTGCAGGTTCTTTATCTTTCCATTAAAAGATGGAAAAAAGGCATCCTTGCCATGCTTCACATTTGATTAGTTGCTTCTATATTAATGCATAAAAGCTTTGGAACAAATTGGTCTCAAACAGGGGCAGTTCACGTCAGAAAAAATTAGAATATGAGCTAATATTCAATTTTCTACATTCACAATGCCTGAGAAAGCATTCTGATTATTGCAAAAGTTTACTTAACAAAAAAGTTCAATATGAAAATGCACATGACCTGATTTTTATATTGTAGTAAAACAGGTGCTTTGGAGAGAGGACATGTGGAAGCAGTTGATTTCTTCCAGAGTACACACCCATTGTTTATACTTGTTCCAAGACTTCTAACATGATACCATTTCCTCATATTACAACCATTCCAATCTTGTTCTGTGGCCCACTAGTTGCCATTTCCACACATTCATCGTGTATCACAAGACTGACAAAGGGATTGAACCCCTGCAATATTCCTTGGATGTGTCCGCCACCATTTAATTTCAGTGATAATTTCTGGTCCATAAATTGTTTCAACTTGGGAGTGGGTGAGCTTTGCTCATGGTGTCCACTCTGCAAGCTCAAAGATCTGTTTTTTGTTTTTTTTTTTAAAGATTTTATTTATTTGACAGAGAGAGACACAGCGAGAGGAAACACAAGCAGGGGGAGTAGGAGAGGGAGGAACAGGCTTCCCACTGAGCAGGGAGCCTGATGTGGGGCTCGATCCATGACCCTGGGATCATGACCTGAGCCAAAGGCAGCCGCTTAACTGACTGAGCCACCCAGGCACCCCGATCTGTATTTATTTGTTAATGGAGTCTTCTGCTGATGGATAATTTTCAATTGCTCTTATCTCTAGATATTCTTCCTTCCTTTTTGGCTTCTAGGTGTTTTTTTTGGTTTTGTTTGTTTTTTAAGATTTTATTTATTTGAGAGAGAGAGAGACAGAGGGAGAAGCAGGCCCCTCACTGAGCAGGGAGTGCGACGTGGGGCTTGAGCCCAAGACTCTGGGATCGTGACCTGAACCGAAGGCAGATGCTTAACCGACTGAGCCACCCACGTGCTGTACCCCCTTCCTTCCCCCGCCCCTGCTTTTTTTTCTTTAAAAATATTTTTTTTTTTTTTGAGAGAGAGAGCATGCGCATGAGTGGGGGTGGGGTGGCACAGAGGAAGAGGCAGACTCTCTCCTGAGCAGGGAGCCTGACAAGCGGCTTGATCCCAGGACCCTGAAATCACCACCCAAGCTGAAGACAGACGCTTAAACAATTGAGCCACCCAGGTGCCCTTTGGCTTCTAGTTTCAATTCAAGCTTATTAAAAAAGGCTTTCTCTACCTCTGTAGAGAAATATACTAAAAATATTCTTCTATTTTATTTTAGTAGTTTTGTTATTTTTTATCATTTACATATTTAGTCCACTGGAAATATGTTTTGATATTTGATGGTAAAGAGATATAGCTTTTCTTTTCCACCAAGTGGAAATATTAATTAGGCCCACCCTTTCTCCCCACTGATCTGAAATGCCATCTTTGCTACATACTGAATTCCATAAATTCCTGGGTCTGTTTCTGCACAACCAATTTTCTAAAAATTGATTTTTGTGTTTACTGTTGTGCAAGAATAAAACTGTTAGTTGTGTTAGTTAATTCTGTAACTTTATAATCACGGAATGGGATCCTATTAGTTAATTCTGTAATTTTTGTATTTTTTTTGTTGTTTATTCTCAAGCATTAACTTTTCCAAATAAGTTTCTAAGTAATACTGGATTACCTAGTCTCCCCCAAAACAAAACAACCAAAAGAAAAGAATCTCAGGAGAGGCAACTGCACTGAGATTTAAATGAAAGAAATACAACTTCACAATACAGTTTCCCATCCAAGAAAAATCTCTCCATTTATTCACTCCCTATTTTATACGTTATTTATTCATTTATTTTTGAAAAAGAGTGTGTGCGCACACACAAGTTGGGGGGGGTGGGCAGAGGGAGAGGAACCGAGAATGTTAGGCAGGCTCCATGTGGATGCAGGGCTTGATCTCATGACCCTGAGACCATGACCTGAGCTGAAATCAAGAGTCAGATGCTTAACTGACTGAGCCACCGAGGTGCCCCTTTTTATGTCCAAAACTGTATTTTCTTAATTCATATTTTGCACATTTCTAGTTGGGTCAACTTACTCAATTTCAAATGCTATTTTATTTATTTATTATATTTTCAAATTCTATTTTAAAAGGAAAAAATACAGTGAAGAAATTACACACAGTACCTTTTCTAAAGCAACATGTAGTTCTTTTTCATATTCTGGTGGCAGTCTCAAAAGTAGAACCTGACAGGCATCTTTAATCAGTGGAACAACACTGAGAAATATTAATACAGCAATAAAGAGAGAACAGAGGGGATCAGCAATGAACCATCCAAACTGCTCTATAAGAACTGTGGATACGATCACACCAATACTGCCAAGTGTGTCTGCCAAAACATGTAGAAATACACCTACAAGTAAAATATGAAAACATTAAAAATTAAAGCACATCTAATTTAGTTCTTTTATCCATTTTATAAATATTACTGGGTACCTACTATGCACCTAATTCTGCTAGGGGATAGTACTTAAAAACAAAAAAACCATGGTCACTGCTCTCAAAGAATTCACAGCACAGTGGTAAAAAGGGAAAGATACAGGCAACTATAGCACAGAGTGGTGAGTTTTATGATGGTGTGGTTTTCCTAGAAATCACACGAGCCAAGTTTTGACATTATCCAAATTAAGCAATCACAATAAATAATTCAACACAATAAGTGATAAATAATTCCCCTATATATTTTACAGTACAATAAAAATTTCCTGGTTCTTTTGTAGTGAAAGTTCATAATGACACAGTATTTCCCTTCCAAATAATATTCATGCAAATGTTACTATGAAAAAGACTCTATAATACAATAATCTGTTTAAAAATTGACATTTATGAACAAATGTGAGCATTTTCTACAGCAGATGACTTCAGACATTTTTTTAGCAGCAGACTGTTTTTCAAAAATACAACTGTACCAGAAGCCTAATATTTAATACAAATAAGACAGTGTCAATTCAGAACACAGTTGAAAAGTAGGGCAGTATTTGGCAAGGACTCACCCCTCATGTTAGCATTCATGCCTCTGCCTGCAAATCCGTGGCTGTGACCATGCCCATGGTCACTGTGTCCATGCGTATGGTGGGAATGACTGTGATCAGATGAATGACAGCTTCCCTGAGAAGCTCCATGGTTATGGTTATGGGCATGGCTAAAGGCACAGATACCAATAAGGTTTACTATCAGCCCTCCAACTGAGACTGGCTAGTAAAAGGAGAAAAGAAAACCTTTAAATTTGTAATTTTAAAAGTACATTTGTTATTTAAAAGTTACTATATATCTAAATATGTTTTTCTGTTTACAGTTTTCAAAGTATTTTTGTAAAACCTAAGTTCAGTAAGGAAATCCAAAATTTTTAAAAAGATTTTAGAATATTTTAGAAGAAACATTTTAACTTTCAAATAGCAAAGTTTTGACAAGTAGAGGAATTTGGGCTTGCTTTAATCAAGTGAAGAACAAGTACTTGGTTCATGGTTTATGAATAAGTTATGCTAGAGTTTTGTTTTATTTAAATAAAATTTGAAAGTACTGCTTACTACAGCAAGTATGCACTGTAGCTGAAATCTCATTTATATTTCGGTTTGTAAGGCAATGATTATAATTTACTAACTAGTGGATTACAAATACATATAATCTTATTGCGTTTCTTAAAATATAGTAAAATTTCCCAAAGTAAAAAAACATGTAATGGAAAAACAAACATATAATAGTAACCTTTCACCTTTTTTTTTTTTAAAACAAAGTGAATGGAATTATCTTGATTTAATAATGCCACATAACACCCCAAAGGATAAACAAAGTTACTTACCCTTGATTATCCTCTCTTACAAAATGATTTTGGATGGTTCAGGGTGTTACTTAACTTACATATATTAAAATTTCTCCTTTAGAGAAATCCACTTGATTTATAAAAATAATATATAAAAATAATGGGGACAGATAATTCTAATTCATTTCCAAAGTTTATTTTTTAATTTTTTTAAATATTTTATTTATTTATTTGACAGAGAGAGAGATAGCAAGAGAGGGAACACAAGCAGGGGGAATGGGAGAGGGAGAAGCAGGCCTCCCACAGAGCAGGGAGCCCGATGCGGGGCTCGATCCCAGGACTCTGGGATCATGACCTGAGCCGAAGGCAGACGCTTAACGACTGAGCCACTCAGGTGCCCCTGATTTCCAAAGTTTGTAAGACAAGAGATTTACTTTAGTAAACATGTATTATACACTTCTTACTGAGGCTCAGACCATTTATCTGTCAGATTTTAAAATTTTAGTTAGCTTTATGAAGAACTTGAAAATGGTTACTGAATTTTGAATTAAATCAAACACTGCATACAGAGACCCCATCATCTCAAGTATTTCTCCTCTAATGATAAATACTTCATTTGTATAGATTTCATCAGAAAAAAGTAACGTAGAAAGTGCAAGCTCCCTGTAATCTAACCCCCAAAAATTAGTCACTAAGAGAATGGTGTACTTTCTATGCACATACTAAAATACATACATAAACACCTTTTTAAACCAATAATAGCATCATATTATAATGCTACTTTGGAATTTTTTTTTTAACTTAGTACAGTTTATAAGTATTTTTCATGCCAGTGTATACAGATATGCCTCATTCTTTTTATTGGCTGTATAGTATCCTACAAATGACAGCTTTATTTCTTTATTTAACCGGTCTTGTCCTTGGTGGACATTTTTTCACCATTATGAGCAATGGCACAAGGAATCATGCACCTTTACACACCTGTGCAAATATTTTTTGCAAGTATTTCTGTAATAAATATTAAAGATCAAAAGATAAAATCATTTAAAATTTAAAATATATTTCTAAACTGTAATCCAAAGCATTTTACTTATATAAGCTTCCAGCAACCAGATTTATAACTTATAGTCATTCAACAATTAATTGCTGATTTCCTACTAACAAGCCAGGTCCTAGAGTTTAAGAGTTAATGACAGACAATTCAGGTCCTGAAGATACTTCACTTACATCTTTAATTGTGGAAGAAAGACAAAGGAGTTATAACTCAATGTTGCTAAAAAAAAAAAAAAAAAAAAAAGGCAAGATACAACAGGAATACTGAGAAAGGGAAATCTACCAAACTTTGAGGAGGGAAGAGAGGGATTAAGGGAAAGTATCTCACTGGAAGAGACATATAAGCAAAGTCCTGACAAAGGCTGAAAGGCAGATGTGAGGGAAGGGCATGCCAACTACAAGAAACAGCACATGCAAAGGTTTGGAGGTAAAGGAAGAACATTATAAACTACTACAGCAGTAGTACAATAAACAAAGTAAAGCCTTTAAAATGATAATATTTTTCTGATTCTTTCCCTATCATTTTGCAAATTTCCTCAGGTAGTTATTTATTTATTTTTTAAAGATTTTATTTGACAGAGAGAGACACAGCGAGAGAGGGAACACAAACAGGGGGAGGGGGAGAGGGAGAAGCAG